AGGCACTTTGGTGTATCATTTTGCAGGCCACCATCCCCACAAGGACCATGCTCCTCGACCTCTGAGCAGCCTGGCTGGCACAGAACATGTTGACTCGGTGAGCAGATGTCCCATACCCACTGGAAGATCCCTTTTGCAGACTTCACACAGCTCTCCTGGCAAGATGAGTCCGTAACTAGTGAGAAAGTGCACTTTCTACAGAGAACATCCGAGCTTCTCCACATGTTGCAGAGGTCCCTCTTGCAGTCCCTTCTTCCACCACGATGAGCAGAGACTGATGTAAACCATGTACAGCTGCACGATGCTTTTCCTGGCGTGCTTTGGCCTGTGTCATGGCACAGTTTTTTGGTTCAGGCACTAGAAGCATGGTGGGTTTTTCTTCCTTCACTGGGGATAAAGCAAACGTGCTATTCCCAGGTGAGTGTACCTGCCACAGCACACCATTAGCTCTACATTTGACAAAATGCTTGCTTTTCCCACATAAAATTTTAGCTTTAACACGTAAAAAACAAACAAACAAAAAAACCCCCCAAAAAACAACACATATCCTGTGTTTGAGAAAGATTTAACTTCTCTATGAACGGCACAGCACCTGTAAATTGTTGTTTCCCTTCTCCCCTGGCAACCACTATGCCAAGGCTGATCTTTCTGCACAGTTGCCATTTTGCCTCGCAGGAAGAGAATTCCTCCTTGTCCCTCCTTACCAAAATAGTTTAATCCAGGTAAATAAAAAAATTCTGGAAGCCCAATATAGTTTTTTCATGGACAGTTCCAGCACAGAAGGCTCATGAGGAAAGTTACAGACAAATGGGAGGAAGCCTTCAGTAACTTCACTACCACAACACTAACTTGAATTGCTGGCCTTGGGCTGCTTTAGGCAGCTGTCCCCAGGATACCTCTCAAAGCGCAATGCATTCCTAACCAGTAAGCAACAAGTCTCCTGCACATGAAAAAGAGAAATCCAGACAAAAAGCAACAGCCTCCATCTATAGTACCTCTATACTTTTTGCCCAGCCTTCCTTCTGCAACTGGCAGGCAGTCATACCTATCAACAGGACAGCTGAATCAAGTGCTACTCATGCCCTCTTGCCTCCTCTTCATAGGGCTCTGATATATGGCCAGGCACTGTTCGAACGACAGCACCCCAGATCCATACTGGCTGTGTACAGTGCAAATCTGCCAGACACATGAATAATTCAACTGTGGAACTGCTTGTGCCATCTCCATAGTAATAAATGCAGCGTTAATGCAGCAGAATATATATAAGCATTCCGAATCTCTTTAGAAGATTAGATTTTATGGGGGTATTAGAGGAACATTGATTAATAAACATGCTAGAAAAACAGCACGGGGGATGGGGTATTACCTTCATACACATCACTTGGAAACTCCCCCCCCGGCCCTGGCCAAAACCTTGACGCCTTGAGGGGAAAAGCGGCAACCAATTTCTCCTGACTGTCCAGACACCCAGAAATGAGGTTTAATAACACAGACCACAGATAATCAATCCTTCAGTGGCTGTCACAGAGTTTTTCATTCTCTGCTCCGAGGCACACCACCCTCTAGCTCCCAAAGGATTGTTTACAACACTGCCATTTCTGCTGATTTCTGAAAGCACAGACCTCTAGTATCCTCAGTAGCAAATTATACATTAGAAGAGCAAAGTGCTGAATGACTTACCCCTAACTCCAGGGATAAGAAATTGCTAAGAAATTACTTATGATTATTTTCCACTCGATTTTCTTGACTCAAGTTTGCCAAATAGCCACCTAATTAAAACTAATTTAGTTAACATTTCAAATAGTTCAGTCAAAGCTGGGACCAAAAATACTTCATTAGCAGGGCATGAATATGAACTGTTTTTAAAATAATCCCTGGATGTTTTGATACGCAAAAGGAAGCAGCAGCTACACCAATGAAAGTGACCTTGTCTAGCACATTGATGGATAGAATTTTTTACCCTGCCAATAGCTTGCTTCTTTAATCTTCTTTACCTAACACGGGATAAATAGGATATTATGGGGTGCTTTTATGGTTTGTGTTTTTATCCTACAGCTGGTTATCCGTTGCGTGCCCAGCGAAGGGCAATGAAGGCGGTGAAGCACAAGTTTCATGAGGAGCAGCTGAGGGAACTGGGTTTGTCAAGCCTGTACCTGAAAGGAAGATGTACTGAGGTGGAGGGGGGTGTGTCAGTCTCTTCTCCCAAGTAACAAGTGATAGGATGAGAACAAACAGCCTTAAGTTGCACCAAGGGAGGTTTAGATTTGATCTGAGGAAAAATGGCTTCACTGAAAGGGTTGGCAAGCACTGGAGCATGCTGCCCAGGGAAGTGGTGGTCACCATCGCTGGAGGGATTTAAAGATGAGGCACAGTAAACTGCTATGGAGTATACAGAGTTGTTTCCAACCTGAAGTCACGCCATTCTTCTATGTACACAGTACTTTTCAGAAGATGCTACAGCAGAGAGAGGAGATGGATCAAGTATTTAACATGACCATGTTCCCTAATATCTAGTAAGATGCTGTGACTCAGTACCTTAGAGCATTAGAGAAAGGCACTGCAAATTCAGCCAACATGGCCAGAACCGTTGTTAATCATCAGCATGACAGAATTGTGTCTCTCCTCCAACACCTGTGCTGGAAAATGCTGGAGATGTGAAAACTCCAAATAAGAAAACCCTCACCAGCCACTTCAAAAAAAACTAACAAACAAAACAACAACAACAAAAAAGAACAACAAAAAACCAAAAAACCAAACCAAAAAAACAACCAAAAAACCAAAACAACAGACTGCACACTGAACTTCCACCTCTGGCTCTGTCCGTGTCTGTTGCTAGAGCCACCTCCTGTCTCTCCCTCCACTGTCCAGACATCCCCAGCTGTCCTCAGTTCTGAGCACTGCAGCAGCCTGCAGCTCCCACAGGGGGTTGCCTCACTCCCCTTTTGTGTTAAAAACCAGTGCCTGTTCCATCATATAAATACAGTGAAATACACGTATGTGTGCACCAGGCACCTAGAACTTCAGCAATGCTCTGTATCAAAAGATTATCACCAATACAGATACTTATTTGCAGTTGTAACTGTCACTAGTTACTTCCACTGATACAGCATCTTCACTCCAACAGACTGATTAGCCTGTGTTGGTGCTGAAATACTGTCCCTCCTGGGCTGCAGTTACTGAACAGTTAGCTCAGTGTGCATCACATACAAAACCAAGCTTAAAGCAAACCAGAATGCATTCAGGCAACAGAGCTTTTAACTTCCTACTAAAACCTAACAAGAACAACTAACCAGGTACTGCTTTTCTTATATTTTTTTCAGCACTGTATCTGCTCAGATTCTCTTCAAGTATAATTAAGAGACCCAGCAACTGGTATCAATTCAGTCTGCTCTGCGGAGTGACTGTACCATGCTACCTCTTAGCCTCACATAGTACACACCCTGCAAACTTGGCTGCTACTTCTACACTAGAAATGCAGAAAAAGAAAGGCATGCCATTTGGCTGGAGTCAGACAAGGAAGACTGGTGCTGAGAAGGAAGAATTATAGAGAAACAGGAGAGCAGAACCTTCTGGACTTAAAGCACAGAAGGGAACCTCAGAGAAATTTAACCCAGAGAGGAAGCATGTCTCAATGACTGATTACTATTCAGGTCCTTAGACTACATGGAGCATGTCAGCCCATGAATAAAGGAGTTCTTTATCAAGGATGAAAGGGTACTGCCCCTTCCTAGTTACTCTTCCACTTGGCATAACAAATAAGAGTAATGAGGTACAGGCAGAGAAAATAGTTCTCTGCGTACAAAGCTCAGTTCTTCCCCATAAGGATAAGAGATGGCATTCCTCCTCCTGCAAGATGTGCTCTGGGAGGTTTGTTTGGACATGGTTGAAGTCACGTCTAAGGAGAGTACACCAGTTCCCTGCTGTACTATTTTGGGATCCAGTTCAGGAAAAACACACCTAGACAAACAACTGTTAACAGCCTCAGTCCCTCACTGTTCCACCTGGTATTGTCCTGGACCAGCTCTATTCACCTGCAAGCACATGACTGGCGATACCCACTGCTGCATTAGTACACCTTTGTTACTGACAGGCAGTAAGAGAACTAAAACACTTTTGTTTGACTTGAAAACATTCTATTTAATTTATACAAATAACTACTAAATAGAAAAAGTAGATTAAAACAAAATAGTTATTTTTCTGGCAGAGTTTAAATGCATATTATATAGCTTAGAAGAAATAAAATGCATTTTCCCCACAGCATTCATGACCTAAAATTCTAGTTAATTCCTCCATTGCTTTCCTTTTCTAGATCAGTAAGATACTAGACACAACGTCATGTGGGAAATGGCTATATATATGTTCCGTATTTGAACTGAAAATATGTTACAGACCACACACCTACAAATGTGAAGCACTTAAAATGTGACTATCAAGTTGTAATATGATAATACAGAAAACAATTTATGTTTCAGGTTATATTGTGTTACAAAAACATCTGTGTAAGAAATCATGAAAGAGGCCACATAAAAATAAGCTTTAACTTTATGCACTTATTTTACAGTTTAAAAAAACTGGCAAGTGCACTAGTAATAAATAATTTGCAAGTTTTGTATAAACGAGAAGTTCCTAATGTTCAGCATTATTGTAAACATCAGTACACATGTAAAATGCAGCTAAAATCTGACAGTTACATTTTCAGTTTACCAAATTCATTTCCTATTATTCAGGCATCGATCAATGTAGTGTACAGCCAATCATATTTTTGGCAAGTCATGTCATTAAAATTAACAGTGACAGTGCAAGTAAGGAATGCAAAGAATTCCTAGTGCAATAAAGAAGAGAAGCACAGGTAATATTGCTGATTAAAATTTACCACTTCCATGTGTTCGCCCTGGGAGTGATTAGGAGAATTAAAAATTAAAGAAAAAAAAAAAAAGATAAAAGAAACAAAAAAGAAAAAGAAAAAAAAAGGAGGGAAAAAAAAAAAAAAAAAAAAAAAGAGCTGTTCAAAGCCATTATTTAATGCCCTGATCTTGTCTTAGGATTTCTCTGTCTTCCTTCAGGCCACTACCTTTGCAACAGTACATCCAGCATAAGTCCTTATAGCTTGACCATTTGTGAAATGCCCATTGTAGTCACTGAGCAAAGTCCATATGGTTCCGATGTCTCCCACACAGACGGCTTGGTAAGAACTTCTGCCTCTATAAGTAGCCACATGGGGACCAATTGTATAAACTGTCTGTCCAGACTACTTCTGAACCAGACAAACGCCTTCCTATCAGGAGAGCACCACGAGAAGAAGGTCAACAGTCAGCTTTCAGTTTATCTAAGGAATTATCAATTTTGGTCAAAGTCTTTTTGATTCGCAGGGCTGTTAGTCTTGCTGATGGATTTTGATACCAGCATTCTTTCATCAACTTGGCAAGAGATGTTAATGTCTGGGAAGAATAAAAAAAAACAAACACACACACAACACAAAATACATATTAAGTCCACAAATAACAAGCCAAGAAAGCACTAGATTGGGTTTTACAGCCGTATTAATACTCAATTTTCAGGACGTACAGAGAGCTTTTAGGTATTGAAAACCCCCAAGTTTGGCAACTTGGTTAAACCCAGAGAATAACCAGACAAAGGGCTGGCTGGGGTAACAAGCTAGCATAGTTTTAAACAATGGAGTTCCTAATGAAGAAAACATTCCACAGAACCTATTTTCAATGAAACTGACTCCTGCAAGATTCATGAAGGAAGCCAGACAAGATACACAAGCTACCTTTTGTTTTTTTTTAAAAAAAAAAAAAAAAAAAAAAAAAAAAAAAGGAAAAAAAAAAAAAAAAAAATTCATTTCCCTTGGACAAAAAACAACATAGAAAGAGTAGCTTTAAAATAGTTATTGTTAAATCATGCTTCTAAAAGGGAAATCTGTGAATAGCTCAGACTCCACAGTCACAGGTTTGCTCACTACTACAACTAAATTTGCTCTTCCAGCTCCAACATAAAGGTCCATGCCAGGACACTTCTGCAATCTGTACAGGTAATGCTCCTAACAAGTAGCATTGAGAATATTTCAATTTCAAGTGATAACTGAAAATAACTTTCATGACTTTATTTCGAAAGAAGAAAGGTCAGCTTGTATCTTCTGCAAACCACCCACAGGCACACCCACTTACAGGGTCTGAGAACCATCTGTTGGGAATGTTCGGCCTTTGCTGATCTACACAGACCACTTTTCTCATGTCTTCAAAACTGGGATCATTTGGAACCAAGTCATAAAATGGTGGTTTGTAGTCTTCCACAATACCTGGTGAGACATAAACAAGAGATGCATTATTTAATGACTGTCTCAGTTAAACAGCATTTCTGCACAGAGAGAATGCATGACCTAGCTGTCTAAAAAGCAGAAACATCTTTAAAAAGTTAACACCACTGCGTCAAACAGCCATTAAACAACAAAATAGCACTGTCACAGAAACAGCTTTTTCTACCCAAAATGTTAATTAATGGGCTCCTATTACAGTCCCACAAAAAACTACATCCATTTTACAGATGCTTGAGCTGAAATCATGAGGAATAAATTCACTTCCCAAAAGCCCATCTTTTATAATGCACGGGGATTTACTGACCACCATAAAACTGGGATTTCTACTAGCAAATAAAAATCTAAAAAAAAAAAAAAAAAAAAAAAAAAAAAAAAAAAAAAAAAGTCTGCATTGTGGGTTTTAATAGGCTTACCACACACTTCGCATAGTATTCTTGAAAGTGTCCAATAAGCATGTCAGCATGTACAGACGCTCACGCTGGTGCTTCAAATAGTTTCTTTCTTGTTATAAATAGTGAAATATCTAGGATAATTGGCACCACATGCCATCACAAAGCCAAACACCTGAAAACCTGTGGCACCCAGTGTCTGAATGCATGTTCTAGGATTGTGCATTGAAAACTGAGTTTGTATGTGTGCTCTCACTGAGTTTGTATGTGTGTATGGTGTAGGTCAGCCAGCCTACATCAAACTAGCAGGATGAAAAGCCTTTTTCCTACTCTCTAAGGCATGTGTGCAGCACTGCTGTTTCATCAGTTTCATACACCAAACATCACCTACGGGGCTGAACTTTTGGCTTTACACTCCTCCTGCTTCCTCCCAGAACACAGAATAAAGTTTATTGTGAGAACTCAAGAGCACAAAAAACCTCTTGTGTACCCATACAGTCCATGCTTCCATTTCAAATATAGTAGTGGCTTTATACAAGTCAAAGGCAGAACTTCAGAGGTACATCATATAGCTCTGAAAATGCTTCCAGGGTCATTAGGATATTACAGATGAACTTTATCACTAGAAAAGTCTGACTCTAATTTACTGTTTTCATGGGGTCCTTTTCCAAAGTATAGGGTACATAACTGGCTGTTACAGATAAGCCGCACAGTAATAAGAAAGAAATGAGGTGGGTCTAGCCTTTACTCCAATAGAGCCATTCTAGAGCACTTCGATCTACCACAGCTGAATATCACAGCCCCCAAGGGACCACTGCTGGCTCCACCACAGCAGCCTGCCAGCAGCATCAGTAAGCCACTGTGACCTCTAGCCCACACCGCCCCCCCTAGCAAAGCCAGCACTGAACTGTGACACACTTCTTTTGCCCATGCCCTGGAAAGCCAGCCACTTCCTACAAGGAATGCCCCAGTCCCTTCAGCACGACTTACAGCGTGCCGCTCTCTGGACAGCTTTAAGATGACTTCTGCCATTTATAATATATTGCATCTCTTGTGGTTGCTGCTCAAATAAATTAGAACTTGCACATACATCCACATTTTCTTCACCTTTATTCCTCATTCCTTTAGCGTCAAGTCATCCTATGCATGTGCAGCTGTAACTGTTGGAGCAAAGCAAGATCTACGCAAAACACCCAAGCAACAGACACATCCTTGCACACATAATGATGATGATCACACACCAGGGGTGGCTTTGAGCAGTAACCATCTTTTATCTTCTAGTGTCACTATTAATATCCCAATACTGAGAACAATAGTGAAGATTCACAAGGAACAAAACCCTAAGTGCCTGGCACCAGGTACTGATGATGCAGGGCACTGCACGTTAGGAAGGGAGCACACTTGAAAAGCAGCAACCACTCTACAAGGAACAAGGACTGGTCTATTTAAAGAGAGTTAAATACTGTTTTGGGGCCTTAAACTGCATTTCCAAGTACAAAGAAAAATGCTGAGTGGCTCCTGCTACAGCACAAAGACAATAGCCAAACACTCTTGGTTGCAGTGAAGGAGTTTCCTATTACACTTTCCTCCTTATATTAAGCCACAATAGAAAAGTACCAAGAATCATTAGTTCACTTTGAGGACCATTAGATAAGTGTAAAGAAAATACTAAAATATTTAAAATTGAAAATTTTAAAATAAACATTTGTAAAGTTTTTTGGTTTGGTTTTTTTCAATACATCAGACTTATTAGTCAGATTACAACTTCACAGTCTCCACAAACTGAAGTATTAAATCAGGCCGACTTTCTGGAATGGACTTTGCATCTCCACCCAGTAAATGAGATACGAAGAGTGTCCATCAGTATGGAATAGCAGCATATACACTAACAAGTGACTCTAGCCCACCTAAGGCACACCCTAGCACGCTACCTTGACCTCAGCATGCTCAGTCCAGTGCCAAAGTCTTACTACAAATCAAACAGGGTTATCTGACCAACCACCTGATGAAGTAATGATTTCCACACAGCTGAACACTCATATTTGAGAGAAAATGTTTGCTCTGTTTCAAACCAGTGCAAGGAAGTGTAATTACCTAGGGAAACAGACAGAAATATGGAGCAACTGGAAAGAAGTATTATGGAATTAGTAACACCATCACCTTAAATTTAAGGCTCTGCTGGCACAACAAGTGTCATTACATCTCTGTATTACTTCTTCCATGGTGGCACTGAGCTCAGCCTGAAAAAAAAATTACTGAAGCATTTACCTATCATCTCTGGTAGGTCTGCAGTCCATCCTGAGTTTCATACCATCTTGGCAAAGCTGCCAGCACATAATATAAGCTTGCTAGTTTAAAGGTAGCTCAGGTAAATTGTCTGTGAACTGCAGTTACTGCAACAATACGTATCGAACCTTCAGCACAGGAATATTTAGATTATAGCTACTGTTTCATGGAATTTTCATTTCAAGAGGTAACTAGGTAAGACTCTGTATTTTTAGATACATTGCATAGAGTATACACAGACAAGTACAAATGTGTTATTCATAAACAAAGGGAACAAGACATGTAATATTCCACAAAGGATTACCAGCCTCCAAAACACTGTGGCATGACAGATTCCAGATGAACTACTCAAAATTCAAGATTGGCAATGAAAACAAACTTATCAAAAGCTTACGTGTGAAGTTTTGTCATCATGTAGGCCAGCTGCAATGTTCAAACAGACAACACTCTACACAGTGCCTATGTGGAAGCACCTATCCCTGGTAAGCACTGATGGTCCCAACACATGGAAAAAGTTTAGAGATTTTATGATCTAAAATTTTAAATGTAACTGTTTGGTATGAATTATTTTTCATCATGATTTAGAACATCACAGAGGAACCTCTTTCTTCTCTCACACCAACAACTTCAACACAGGCAACAAGGCATCAGGAATTACCATACTTCAGAGGTCCAGTATTTTATTGTGCATCCCATGCATTTTGGCAGCTGATGCTTTGCTATAAATTACCATTTACTCAACTCTTTCTAAAAAAACAAGTAAAGAAGTCCTAAACACTTACCGTTGCTAACCATGCGTCTAGCTACTTCCCAAAGGACTAGCCCAAAAGCCCAGATATCAACCCTTTTATACGAGTCAAAGCAGTCTGCCTGGATAGTTTCATCCAAGACTTCTGGAGCCATGTAGCGTTTGGTACCCACACGAGGATTGTTCCCCACATCCAACTGATTCGTGCTTTGGGAGTGCATAACTGCAAGGCCTGAAGGAAAGGAAAATAAAAGTCCACTGTAAAAACTCCCTTTAAAACTATAGCAGCATACATTTAAAATTACATGGAGCTGTGATACCCATCAGACAGTTTCTTAAAAAGAAAGAGCTGAGAAACCAACTGTCCAAAGACCAACTGGGTCAGCTACAAACTAGCTATCAAAAACAGACACTGTGTCCGTAGACTTAGACCAATTATCTCCTCAGGGATTACCATTAAGCATTTTATTGCACTCTTGCAAAATGTTGTCATTAAGTGTTCTGCAGCCACTGGATGTCACCAGCGCTCTAGGCACGTATATGCAGAAGGCCAAGCATCTGTTACTTAGAAGAAAACAATTTGACACAGCATTCAAATTTATTTATAGAACTTTTGGGTAGGTGGATATATCTGAACTGTGGGGAAAAGAGAAGAAAAACACCACATGATGGATATACACAAGTTAAAAAAATAAAGCTGGAAAATAAAAAACACCGTATTTGCAGTAGCTTGAAAAATAAACATCCTCAAGCTGATCTAAAATGAGTCAGTCAAAACCACTCTACCTGGTTTCTACTAATTACTAAACATTTAAGCAAAGAACATTATGTGAGGGACTAAATTACTGTAAATTTGGAAACACGCAGAGTACTCATTTTGCCATGGTAAACAGAGAGCACTGCAAATTGAACAGGAGCAGGTGCATGACATAACTAAGCAATAGAATGGACAACACAAATGCTCCCTGATTTCCTCAGGAAATCTTGTAAGAAGAACATATATACTATTTACATTTAACACAAGTTTATTTTAGATGAAACTTAAAAACCTTATTAACTCTGTCCCACAAAAATTAGCCTATCACCAGGCCATTAATAATTTTTTTTTCTTTCCAAAGAACAGTCTGTACTTCAACATAACAAAAGTTTGGAAAACTCAGCTACAATTTAAATGCACTTCAAGTAATTTTAAGCTACTAAGAAAATGCTTATGGCACTTCTAGAATGACCTATCTACTAACCCCATGACTACCGAGAAGATAACTTGGAAAGCTTGCTCTCCAGATAAAAATGTTTTGTCATATATACACACACACATACAGGACATTTACACACACTTGTTGGTACGCATTTGTTCATATTTATATTAGATGTTACAATATGTATGGACTATAATATTTTTCGGGGGGGACGGGGGGAACCAACAATAAAAAAGCCAATGGAAAAAAAACCAACCAAACAAAACAACTTGCACACTGGAAACAAAGGTTAAAAAACAAATTTCCTGGCAAACTGAAGATGTCAAGACTTTGGAGAACACTTTGATAAAAATCAAAATAGTCCATCCAAATTGGGCAAACTAGATTCAATAGATTGACAGGTCAAAGGTCTACGGCTGAGGGATGCAAGTCAGCATCCTGTACACTACAAATTGAGAAAGTGTTGCAACAAGGTCAGGGGACAACCATGTTGTAATCGGGGTCTCATCATGGGACATCTGGGCTGTTTACAAGAATCAGGAGTCAGATATTGCACTGCTTCAGTTTCTTTTCACCTCAGGAGATCTCAATGCATATTTAACTTAAGTCTGCGTAAGTGCTTGTCAGAGAAGCTCTTTAAGATAATACTTCTTAAAAAAAAAAAAAAAAAAAAAAGGCTTGAAAGGCATACAAATCTATGAAACACGCTGGTTCTCAAGACAAAAATATCCTCTTTAGTATACTGGAGGATCTGCTAGAACCAAAATTTAGCTAAAATAACAATAATTTAAAAAAAAAAAAAAGTTTTGTTAGCATTCTTTGTACCTTCCCCACCAATACCAGACATTCATCACTCTACATGGAGGGGCAAGGGGATGGAAGATGTTAAGAGGAGGACTAGGGTCTTTCTTCTTTTTGTACAAATGTTATTCTGCTGTTCTATAAAGTTGCCCAACTAAGACCTATTACCATGCATGCAAATCACTTTAGAAGGGCAGACCTTCTCCACAGTGCTGACAGATTGAAGAAGATTGACATCCATCCTTGGACTTTATCACACAGTTTCTGCTTAGCTAGAATATATTTGAAATGGCCAGTTCTGCAACTGCAACTCCGGATACCCGGGTTGCTGGTCAGGATACTGGTTTCCAGGACACCTGGTGAATGACAAGCAACCAATTCACAAAGCTCTCGCACTTGCTGTCAGCCATTAGGACTAGGACTGAATGGCGACAAACACCCAGGCTGCCGGCAAAAGAGACAGCTACAAGATCACATCAAAGCAATTTTTTTCCTCTCTGCTTTGAGAACTGACACCCATTCTTAAAGGGTACACTGCAAGTCCAGAACCTGGTGTGACCCACAGAACCCAAGCCCAGCTCATCTCTGGGCAGCTGTAGTGAATCTTTCCACCTGCTCATACTTACCAGTCTCTAGGTGCCATTTTTCTTGTATCATGCATGTGTTGAAACAGAGAAGGAGACCAGATAAGGAAGGAAAGAAAAAAAAAGAAAAAGAAAAAAAAAAAACCACACAAAAAAACAAAATACAAAAAAAAAAAAAAAAAAAAATGCAAAAAGCAAAGCTATACAGGAAAAAAAAAGAAGGCATAAATACATGCCAGAAGGCAACAAAATCTTTGGTAACTCTCCTTTACAGATAAGGAAGAAACATGTCAGATTCATGCCTGAGGATTTCACATAAAATAAAAAAAAAAAAATAAAAACAACCCACAAAAAAACCAAACCCACAACACTATTTCACCACAATAAAAAACTAAGAAATGTTTATTGCTGCTCTCAGAAAATCTCTCAACTATGTGGAGCCTCTAGATAAATAATGTAATAGATTTCACTTCATAGTGTGATGTCAAATCGACACCAGTGTACGCTGCCCCTCCTCAGTGTAAACTACAAATTTATTTAAAAGCGAATCTCTGAAGTTTCGTATTTTAATTTTTCATTTTTTACTTTGTTTCCTCTGCAAAATTAGATTGGCCCAGGTGTGTGGCTTTCATGTTTTCCCTGTGTGTATCTCACGTCCCTCAGGCAAAAGCAGTAAGAATCATGCAGTGGAATTACTGGAAAAAAAAAAAAAAATCCATTTCCTAATACACTTTTTGTCTAGCCAATGAATCCCCAATATTATTTTTTACTGTTATTTTCTTGTCTTCAGAGACAAGGGTAAATTACTGTCAGACACCCTAACGTGTGGACGAGCCACACAGCTGCAACTGTTTCTCAGCATCCTACCAGCTTAAAGTCTAAAACCAGCTGGTCATGGAGAACACAATTTTGGGCTTGCTGAATTAACTGGTGAAAGACTCAAGCAAGCTGGATGGACCTACAGAGCTTGGGACAGTGAGCACATTGTTCTGAGACTGTAAGTGGGAAAACCTTTATTAATTCAGAAATGAGCTGCAGCCTAGTCACTGCTGCCTTCTGGGATCTGTGGATGGAATTTAACATCAAAAACCCAGGAAAATATCAGCTCTGCTCCCAAACGCAGAAGTTACTCTGGGGCTCCTCAGCAGTGGAGCAGCATTTCCAAGTTGTAAGTGCCATCTAGTGGCTGCCATAAACCTTCAGGGTAATCCCACATCATTTAAAGGTTACTTTAAGGTTACTTTAAGACTTGTATGGTTGGAAGTTATCCAATATATTTGATTCCTGCAGGAATGCACAAGTATATTAGCATTGAAATAAACTCACCTAAATCTGCTATGCAGCACTGTCCATTTTTCTTAACGAGGATATTTTTGCTCTTCAAGTCCCGGTGAGAAATGGCAGGCTTCCCCTGGGTTCCAAATATCTCTATGTGCAAATGTGCAAGACCACTAGCTATGGACAGTACTATACGTAGGCAGCTGACGGTGTCCAGCGTAGTGAGCTGCAGATAGTCATACAGAGACCCCATTTCATGGTAGTGGGTAATTAACCACAACTGGGTACTAGAGTTTCTGGAAGTCATATCAGATGCAATGAAACCTACAGAGAGGAAGGAGAAGGAAAAAAAAAAAAAAAAAAAAGGAGAAACAACATAAATGACAGAGTTCCTTCAAGACTCTCAAGAAAAGAATCAACGTTACTAGGCCGCTCTTGTAATTTAAAACTCTGTTTATGTAAAACTTTTCCACAATTACACTGCACTGAAAACAGACTGCAGTTATTACCACGATGAAAAAAGAGCTGACATATTCTGGAACTCTTAACTCAAGTCTACTCACAAGAATGTATCTATGCACTTTGTCAGTCACAGCAAACACAACTACTTGTTAGGGTCACATGTTCTTCAAAAAAAGCAAAACACACACCCCTCAAAAAAAAAAAAAAAGAAAAAAAGGGTTGGTTTGGGGTTTTTCTTTGTTTTTTGGGTTTTTTTTTTGTTTGTTTGTTTTTTTAAGGACTTGGGGGTGGGGAAGTATCCAGTTAAACAAAAAGAGTACCAGGTTGTAGCACATCCGCTGCTGTCCACTCAACAGGAAAGAAGCAATACCGCAAAAAGGCAAGTCATAAGAAATGTAAGAAATTATTTCCATTTTTAAGGACAAACAACTAGCGCAGGCTTGTGAGAAAAAGGTTAAATGCACATCATATCCCAATAAACAGACACTATATGCTGTGCCAGCTTCACATTCACAGCCAAGGTAAGCCTACTCAGCACTTCCAACAATTGACCTTGACGTAGAATCATAGAATGGTCTGGGTTGGAAA